CGGCGTTGGGACGGGGCGGGAACCGCAAGGGCGGGAGCCAAGAAGCGGGATTGGCACGATTGGCTGTCGCGGGCGCGCGGCTTTTCCCCGCCCATTGCTAGAGAGCCGCGGGACTGCGCACGCGTGGCCGAGTCAGTCGGTGTAGCTTCAGAAGGGCGGCCTTGAGTTTGAGAAAGACAAACCGTTCCTGGTGGGGGAGCGCTTCCGACCAATGCTGCCCTTCGCTTGGTCCTCAGTCTCCTCCTTCCTTTCTGCTTCCCGGTTACTTGCACCGCAGAAGGCCGTCTAACCCCCGCCCCAGCTCCTGTCAGTCTCCCGCGCCCCACTGCGCAGGCGCAACCCCGCCCGCGTGACCGGAAGCCGTGGCTGTGGGCGAGGGCTGGCGCAGGCCCCAAGGGCGGTGTTGGGCCTGGTTTCCGGAGCAGCAGGCAGCCTGTGGCGCGGCTTCGCATTTTCTTAAATCAAAGTTGAGAGAAACTGTAGCCTACAGAAGTTTGTTAGGAGACATTGCTAACCACAGCCCAGTGGGTCCCAGTTGGGATGACGCTCTGCCTGCTGCAGACCCCGAGCAGTGAGGATCCTTATCCCAAAATCAGGTGTGGCAATGTGAGGAGTAGAACTCACCTGGGTGGAGATCTGGGTGAGGCCGCTGGGTAACACCTGCGGCACATGCAGGTCGGGAATTATCCCTGGCCAGTGTTTGCAGCCGAAGCCCGGTTGAATGAATGGCCTTTAGAAGTGTCCAAACTCTTTATGAACTGCTTATAACAATGTCTTAGAAATGGCCAGGAGTGATTTTATATGTAAATACAGAACCTGAACACAACACAGTGATCTAGAGTCGAATTTTCTAGGTTCAAGTCCTGGCCCCAGATTTTATCTGCTTGGTAATGCAGTGTCTCTGTGCCTCAGTCTCCTCGTCTGTAAAATGGGGATAATAGTATCCATGTGGTAGAAATTGGAAAATTAAACAAGAATAAATGACAAGGGGGAAAAAATGAGAACTAAAACCTGTCATGTGAAGGTACAGGATCCCAGTAATGAATGTAACTGTATTGTAGACCTAGATTGTACCAATAAACTCAATTAAAAAAAGAATAAATGAGACATACCTGAAACAGTGGTAGATATCTAGGAAGTAAATTGTTAAGAATACATGCAATGTGACCTAAAAATAAGTTTAAAATTTTTTTTTAAATTACAGCAAAACACATTGCCATTAATCTCCCTTGTTTCGCGCACACTTATCCCACCATCCTACTTTCTGAAGCAGTTCTAGAAGTGCTCGAGGCAGGAGATCAGGGTGCGGCAAACTGGCTGGGGAAGTGGGCGTAATCTGCCCTTCGCAAAATTCCAGAACAAATGGTTGAAACAAACAGGTCCCAAAGCCTTGCAGGTGGAACCGATCAGAGTGTGTCGTAAATTCTCGTCAGAGATCCTACGTAGGTTTTTGATACAATGGTCTAGACCACTTCACCCAGAGGAGTGGGAGAGACCAGAGGTGGTTGTCATTTTCCTCATGGCCACGTGTGCTCTCGCTCTTGGTGGTCTGCTCTCACCATTTACAGCAGACTTCTTTTCTTACCCTTACTTATCTCATTCTTACCTTTTCTTTGGCCTGCAATTCTCTCTGCAGAGCATGTTTCTTTCCACACTTTCAGTAAGTGTAAAACCTCACTATCTTCTGTGCTTGTCTTGACCAATTCTTTGTTCAGAACAGAAAGAACCTAAAGACCACCTCTAGAAGGAGACCCCAGCACCGCAAAACCCAGTAACGCTCATTCATGTAGTGTCTTTAGTTGCACTGTTATGGCTCCTTCCACATCCTGAATGGACTCAAAATGCTTACCTATCATGGTCATTTTGACTTTGGAAAAGAGACAGAAGCCGCATGGTGTCAGATCTAGTGAATAAGGTAGAGGAAGACACGCCATGTTTTTATGAGACTGCCTTCCTGTTGCGTGACACTGGGCAGCAGCATTCCCTGAATTACCACACCTCCTGAAGACGCGAAAGAGGACTTTCACAACTGCTTCGGAAAGGGGGAAGAAGAAGGAGATGAGCGTGTTCGCAGCAAGGGGGGGATGTTGTGAGGGGGAGTAAGTGGCAATGGGTTTTACTTAATACATTTTTAAACATTCACTGTATATTTTGACTGCATTTCATGTTCACCATTTCCTAACTGAATTAAGAAAATGCAACACACAAATATAGTTCTTCATATATCTCCAAAAATTTTTTTAAAAAGATGCTATGATCTAGACAATCCCAAATTGAACTGCAAGCAGCAGAGAACTCAGTGCTTCCACATATAATTAATATATATTCTGCTCCTAAATTTTTAAGAAAATAATATAAGCTAACCTCAAGGAATTTACAAAATCAAGAGAGAATTCATAATATTGTAATATAGGTGTTATTCCCCTTACCAAACCACAGATCTCAAGCTTTACACCATTGTTTTTCTTGTCCTCTGGCATGAGTTAATCTCACCGAAAAAAGGCAGGATGATTGTCACATCACTGGAAGCACAGTGCAGACTCTGCACATTCTTTATGCCTTGGGGCAGAAGGGTGAGTTGTTTTTATGAGTCCCTAAAATCAGCTGCTCCCAAATCTTTTTACCATTATGACCTATGCTTTGAGCTGTATTTTTGCTGGCTATGTAAAGGAAAACAACCATTTGGAGATGTTCTGACTTGCTTCTTATGTGAACTGGTATATTAAAATGGAACTAATTGGCCAGATTTTCAAAGAACTTCAGAAACAAGTACTCAGAAAAATCTATAGTTCAGAAACATGCATTTGCTGGCTTACACCTCTGACTTTAAGTTGTTAATATCCAGAAGTCTCCCTGTATGTGAGTTTATATTTTACTTTCATCACATACCACACTGGAAATGTACTTTTCACTCTCAGTTTACTGAAAAATGATCTGGAATATAGATTTCCCCTGTAGTTTTCATGAACCATTAGATAAAGCCTAGCAAACATTCCCATGTCTTTAGTGACCTAAAATCTACTTGCTCATTGAGGCAGGGAGATAATGAAAGACCTGGGATAATGGGCCACGAACCCTCCACAGGCATGGCTGGGCTTAGGTTCTGTTTTCCAGGTTTGGGTGTCATTTTCCTAATGTAGCAACAGGCTGTCAACGGTAATCACTGAGGATGCACAGTGGGGATGAGAGGCTTTCTCAGAGGGCTACCTGCCCGTGGAGGTGATGTAGGAGAAGTATAACTTGCAGCCTGCTGGATATCAGATGTGCTGACTTTGTGACCCCAAAACTGAAGACTGAATTTTAAGAAACAGAGGTTAAGAGTAGGAAAGGTTAATTTAGAGATAGCTCTTGATAGGAGGTTCCTGAGTGGGTTGTCAATGAGACCCTTTGTCAGGGGTAGTTATACAGCAAAGTCACAACGTGGGGCTGGGGATTTGGCTTGGTTCTGCCGCTTGCCTTGTGGGTCAAACTATAATCAACCGATGGGTTTACAAGTACAGCTGCTTAGCTAGTATTTTTTTATTATTCTGGGAATCGAACTCAGGACATTGTATTTGTGAGGCGGGCAGCAGAACCCCTGAGCTAAATCCCCAGCCCCTGATTAGCTAATATTGATCCAATAGGGAAATGAGTTACGTAGCGAGGGTACATGCACAGAACAAAGGCAGTTTTAGGAAGGGATGGGTCTGGATGCGCTGCTCACCCATCTGGGTGACTGATGCCTAGCTGGACATAGTGGACCAGGTGGTGCTAATTATAGAATAATTCCAAGTTACTGTTTATGCCTTAGGGAGGCCTGCAGGCCTGGCTATCACATCTCGGTCTTGAGACCTGGTCTTTACCGAATGCACCTCCAGTCACAATTTTGATGTCTTTATTTTTTGCAGACTTCCTTGAGAGCCCAGTCCCTTCTCTGACTGCATATTAATTTCTATCTAACTTAGCTGCCTGTAGGAAGGGGAAGGGAATGTGAGAAGTGTTCTAGAAAAAGGAGGTCCACAGACAGGACAGGCAGCCAGGGGACCTGGAAAAGACTGAACCAAAGAGGGAATTAGAAAGATTTAGTGAAGGACATGTAGAAGACCAGGGCCAGGACACCTTGGAGTCTCATTAGTCTGGTGAGATTTTCTTGCCCAGAAATAAGATATTTGTACCTGTCTAAAGAATGTCTTCGTTCTATTTAAAGTCACAATTAATGTTGCTTGTAGGAGTACACCCATTGCATATCCTGAGCTCCTACAGGCCCACTTCTACATCAAACTTTTCCATTCATCAATCTCAGCTGGCTAAGATGTAGTCCTTTTTATGTATAAAAACTCCTAGATGAAAAAGTCCCTTTGGCAACTCTTTTGGGCCCATCTCAAGTTAACAACCTGGGACTGTTGGCTTTTGCTTACAATCAGTGCTGCTTTCTGGTTTCGCTCTACAAAAAGTACTTTCGCTTGATCCTCTTTTGACTTTCTACCTTGAAATTCTTTGAGTCAAGAGAAGAACCCACCAACCAGACAGTAACACTCGTGAAGTGTGATGTTTCTGAAACAGGATGTTACATGTTTCAAACGTATCCAAAACCCTGCAGTGGATTCCGATTTCCTGCTCAGTGCTATGACACATGGCAAGGAGTAGAAAGACTTAAAGACAGAATTAAAGAGACAAAGATAGGGAACTGGGATGACCAGTGCTTGAGCAAGCAAAGGCCCTGAACA